GGAAACTTAAGCCTGAAAATATTTCAAAAAGCGTACCCTAATTTTTCTGAGCACCTTCATTGCATAGATCTGTCCATGGTCTTTGCCTCCTATTTTACGAACAAGAAAAACTTTCCCGTATGCTGAAATAATGACATTAGACTACTGGTCAAATCTCAGAGGTTATCTCGATTCAAGATAAAAGGTATTACAAAGAACAACTACCACACCTAACTACGGTTACTGGAGACCTCCCAAAGTCAATTGTTTGGGGAACAAGTTTTCGCGATTACCACCTTCTTGAAGAGATTATTGAAGGCATGCATTGAAAGATGATGTTTTGAGTAAGCTCTCTGTCCACTACCCACTCTCGCACTTGCTTGCTCAAGACCAGACTAGCCCCAGTTCTCAATTTAGTCACATCAAGCTCTGAAACGTGGACCGTGGTCATCTATGTTATTCTTTCGATAGCAACTATACCAAGTTATGCTGAAATGTGCGACTTCTTCCTTTCAAAGATCACCACTATCATTACAAATGCGGCGGCGACCCTGATCACTGATCGTTTAACGCGTCGGAAGCGGATGCTAATGCAGGGAAAACGTAGCGTGGAGGGGAATTAAGGGCTTCAGCAAGGCATCAAAGTTTGACTATCGAAAACCAAATGCAATTGCCAGAATGCTCTACTCCCTCATGTGCCCTTTTGTTCAATTACTCAGATTAACGAGGTTCACGATTCTCAGCATTCATTACACACACGATCCACGACACGAGTGCAGCGATCGAGACGCGTTACATCTCCACATTTATTGATTCCTCATTTTTGCAGATTTTTAATCGACAGCACCCCATCGGCCATTCAGTTAGCCCACTACTCCGCACTCCTGTCAGCAATGCAGGCGCGTAACCACGTAAACGCTTCAAAAACACATTGCACATCGATCGGCTCATAGGCGAGAGCGAGCGAAAATGTGTTGGAAAACAACAACAATAACGTGCAAGAGTAACGGCATGACTGCAGAAGCACGTGTTAATTGTGCTCTCAAAAAGAGTTAGAAGTGGTTCATGGAAGTTTTAAATGGGGAAATTAAAAAAGCTCATTAGTTACTCAAGCTTTGTTCAAGAGAAACTCCTCGCATGCACAGTTCATGGAGCACAGGGAGGTGCAAAAATTGAGCATGCCCGTCTTTTCGATCAAAGAAAGGGAAAGGCTCAAGAAGAGATGAACGCCGCCCAATCAACTCAAAGGTGTAAGAAAAGGACTTACCACCCCTGCCAAGTACCCGCAACAAGGCAAACATTTCCATGGACATGTTCTCCTCACTCGGCAACTGAGTAGTCATTTCCGTTGCGTGTTAGGTCAAGAACCCGTATCGCGGCCAGAACGCCTAAAAAATTATGATTGAGTTCAAGTATTGACTGATCACGTTCGACACGACCACGCACGATTATCCGGCACACATATAATGGCAAAAGTGAGCTCAATTACATAAGAGAGACAAATATTAGTCAACCACATGGTCGAAGATACTGCAATGAACCACGACGGGCATTACTGTGGAGCAGCGTCTGCGCCTGTATTGAGCTAGGGCGCTGCTCTTCTGCGGGATTTTGACACGTGATTTCAAAAAACACAAAAAAAAGTCTAATCAAAAGCCAGAAATTTTTTCAAAATGAATTTTGCTAAAAAATTGTTTGCGTATCAAGCACGCGCAAAATCGATATCTTAAACAATGTTTGGAACTACAGTGATGTGAACCAGTTGACCACGAAGAAGAGAGAAAGATGTAAGAGAGAGGGAGAGAGAGAAGGAGGCAGAACGTAGTTAAAAAGTTAACTGCACAAAAAGTATTAGGAGCATTTAATTGGGTGTAAATCTCAAAATCTGCAAAGAAACAGCTTCGGAGTTTAGCCTTATCACCAGAGTCGTCGCACAGATTTTTTTTTTCCACGTTGCGGTGGAATCCCACTCACTATTCCCAGCCGCACCGTTGGGGCTTTTTTTGATTTCCCACCAGCTTCGTGCCATGCTTTGGAGAACCAATCACACCCCGGGATCTAACAGGCCGCCGAACACGAGTGATCTTCACTGAAACATTTCTTGACCATTGCGATGACTTCAAATAGAAATACAACATGATAAAAATAATGGATTGAGACCGCTCAAAAAGGGAAAAACTTTTAGACTATTGACGGTCCGGTGGTACAGAACAGTGCACCAAATAAGTGTGCCACGTCTTTTTAGGGCGACTGCTTAATCAAACTAGGTCGCTCACGTACGGGAACGGGGCCAAACTTAGTTTCTAATAGTTGAGAAGCTCAAAAATCATGAATAATAGAAAAAATCCTATAAAATAAAATCAGCCAGTCATACACGATATTTCATTCGCTGCAGTGGCAATAGTCTTGACTAGTTCCATAGGCCAACCTAGCCATGTGCGATGGCGGCCGGAACACCCCGCACGGGCCCGCCCCCGAAAAAAAGCTTCTATGAGGCTTGAATGATTGGCTCAGGCAAAAACAGACGCCACCCTCTGCGGGTAATAGCTCCAACTCTCAGGGTTTCCCGTCCAAGGCAAGATTTAATCAACCGGCAACATAAAGAAATGATATGCTTTACAACTCAGAACATCTCAACAAAAGCGATACAGGTTTTACCACGACAACCATCACTGGAAGCATATACTCTAATGAGTTCGTGTAAATTACATCGATCTCAAGCCACAATAACACAGCTGAAAGCAAAAAGATCGAAATGCTAAATTCCAGACTGAGATTCTCATTTCTGGCTCCCAATTACCAGCTCAAACACAAAATCTTTTTAGTACTTCTGACGGATGAATTAAGGGTGAAACCAATAGGAACACCAAAGCAGCCAGACGCAGTGCAAGGTACTTTCAGGAACTGCCGCTCATCGGGACCTTCAGCGTTTCTATTTCAGCTTATCATGAAATTGTCTGTAAGGGGAAATTAAGAAATTCTTCCCAGCCTTCTCAAGAACTCTACTAACTTCCAAGCACTTCACTGCTCGGCCATAATTGCACACGGTGCCCATGGCATAACGACAATTCAGCATTAAGGCCGATGTCAGACTTTGCGAATCGCGCGATTCGCTAGCGTCCGCGGTCGCGTTGCGGTACCAGCCAATTGAGTGATTCACTGGCCGCGACGCGACCGCAGACGCTAGCGAATCGCGCGATTCGCAAAGTCTGACATCGGCCTAATTTCGATCAGAATCCTCCATTTTAGAACGAAAACCACAAGAAAACTGTGAAGCACAGAAACACCAACACAAACGTAAAATGTGAAGAATCATTGTGTGAGAAGCTTACAGCGCGTCAACATATAAGCTGTCTCGAAAGGCCACTTAGCAAAGGTATTGAGAAAGGGGGAGGGACTTGGGCGGTGCAATAGCTCTCGTTCCAGCAACAGTAATAGTATGTTTTTTTTTTGCAGGGGGAGGGGGAGCTCCTGAAGGGGAATAAGTATGTGCGTACAAGAAGGGAACTAAGTGAGCATGAAAATGAAAAAAATGTGTGATGTCAACCTCAAGTGCTCTATGTCGCAATGACCCTCCCTTCCCAAACATATTTGAGGAGCTCACAAAGAGTGTGATCAACAGCACAATAAAAGCAAAGAGGATGGCAGCATGTTCCGACTTTATGTAGAGAAGAAGGAATTCTGCAGAAATGAATGGCATACGGCGAGTGATAAAGGCTATCAAATCGACGAACCAAGTCGCCAACAAGGAAAAAGCCGATAAGAAGACACGAAACCGGTTTGTCTCGGAATACTAGGGATGCTTACGAAAAATGCCGATCTCGTTTTCTTTTCGAAAATGTTGAAAATCCAATGAGACTTCACACAGCAACAGCTTGAAGTGAAATAGAAGAATACACGTCGCATAAAACCTATCGTTTATCTACTAGATTGCAATAACGGTTGAGAAGAGCGTCATGTGAACTATACACGCCTACTTGGTATTTACTTCACTATTCTAAACTTAGGTGAAACTAAAAAGGTACAGCGCACAGAACAACAACGGCAACTACAAAAAAAATCTTGTGAATCATAACCCATCAAACTTCATTTCTGCTTTCACCATGATACCACACCTCTCAAGATTACACCATATGAAACGTAACCACAAATTACTCATCCCCTTAGCATAAAATAACGGTGCACACTTTTCTTGAAAAACATATCCGAATAGGAGTTCCAAAAGGTGTGCTAGCTCAGAGACCTCCCTGGTTATAGGACGGGTGAGATGTACCTCACACATAGACAACTCATTTCATTGTTTGATTCATTTCACAGCGCCGCAATAATTGCCATTCTGGCACCAAAGTTTCGTTAGTCTGAAGAAGAGATGAAAATAATCATTACTGATAAGATAAAACAACAAGAATGTGCATTCAGAGCGAAAAATACTGTTCGTGGGTCAAACAACGGCATTATATGACTGCTACAACCCCGAGATGTCGAGACACTTTCACTTCGCTGAAATTTCACACCTGATGCTGACTGATGATTATGAACATGATGATCAAATGGCTTTAGAGGAAGTGAACCCAGGTGTGTTACCATTTGACACCAAAACGGTAACCTAGCAGCCAAAGCTAACAAGGCATTGGCAACTCTCGCTGAAGAGGAAATTTCGCAGGACATTTTGAATTTAGGGTCATTAAACATATAGATCGAATGTGACGTAAGCATAGTTCGCTATTCGAGTAGATGAGTACTCACTTAAACATTGTAATGAAGGGTAGTGAAGCATAACGAATGTGTAAGCTGGGGATGAAACTCAATTTTTGAGTGCACCAATTGTGCCTAGTGCTTTTGACAGTCCCCTGCCAAATCCAGGCTTGACAACGGTCTCACATACTTGTGCAAATATAATGCATGAAATATCGAAAGGTTTTAATAAGTGAGTTTCCTAAGAGTTCGTTAACTATCAAGAGCTCAGAAGCCGAAAAAGAAGAGTCTTAAAAAAGATTGCTGAGGTAGAGTGTGGCCTCAGTTTTCAAACAGGGAGGAGAAGATGGACGCATCGGATGTGAAGGATGGATAGGAGGAAGTGAGCCGAATAGCAAACCTTCTGAGGAACTCCTGAGAAATTCGTATCAGAAGCCTGAAATTTGCTATTGTCACGTTTGACCCTAACTCCAACTAATCACACCTTCACTGTTACGCGATTTTTTACCAGTTGGTGGGCGAGAGCTGTACTTGATGTCCCACCTGTTCACTAGTTCACTAGAACAGGTTCTTGTTCGCCGATCGGCTTCTTTGTCTGTTCCTACTTCCATGGCACAAAGGAGTATTGATAACAATATCGTCTCTCTCCCCCTCTAACCACACCTGAAAGCCAAGTTTCTCCAACAAATTGCAGATTTTCAAATCTGTTTTAGGGTGACATCCACCTAAAAACAAGCTTTTGTTTTGGAAACTTCATCAGAATTTGGATAGAGCTAAAGAAGCCCACACAATTTAGAATTTAGTTCACAACAAGTTCAGAGAGGGCAATATCGTTATGCATGAAGGAATCAAATGCATGCATGAAAGATGAGGCCAAATGCTTTCAAGTTATAAAAATAGTGACCAACCAAAAGGAACAAGGTCGGAGAAAACGAAAAGATACGAACGCAACACAAAATGGCCACGTATTCCGCGAAAGTAAAGGCAATGAGAAAACTAAGTTTGGGATCTAAACTTGAGGAAAATCGCCGCATCTGCCAGCTAGACATTAATATAGTGATCTATTATTTAAAGTATTCATCAAGAAGTAGAAATCTCAGAGAACCCGTCGACTAGGCGGGACCCACGCTAGACAGAAGAAGAGAAGAAGAAGATAAAAGAGCCAAAATCTAATTGAGCACGAAATTCCTTGCTGGTGGAGGGAAATGAGCACAGTAGGGCGTGCGAGGTGAAAATACTACAAGGACACATCGATTTCCCAGTGGAGCACGCTTGAAATGCTGTAGAGCCCGAATGCTCAAAAAAGACAGACTTAAGACAGAATAAGAACTCATGATTTCTACTTAGCTCAAAAAGCAAGAAAATAAGCCAGAAAAAAGTAAGAGGATTGACTAAAGAAAAATGTAAACTACAAAACACTCGGCCAAAGATTCGATCTGCGCCACGCACAAAATCTCACGTGGAAATAATTTCCACACAGCCTTTCAGCATTCCATTGAGGCCACTTTTTGACACGTTGATGGATATCTCTTAAAAAAGCTTGGTTTATAGCCATGCGCCGCGTGCAAGGAGCAGCTCTTAACATCATCTACGGATATCAGTCAGAGGTTCATTCCACACGAGCATCACCATAGCTACTGTTTACGAA